TCAGTCGTCTGGATAGGGTTCATTATTGAAGTGACACTTTGTGTTTTATGCAATCTAGTAACCGCTAAGATATCATAACCGTAAATTTCCAATTTTAAATTTTATGCCGCATTTGAATGAAGTCTACGATGGTTATTACACCTATATGGCGCACACACACACACAGTTCAATATTTAATCGGGCGAACCTAGCTTTAAAGTGATTTGTGCTAGAGGATCGTCTCGTGTAACATTTAAAGTCTAAAAACCTGCCTTTCACTATTATTATATGGGATTGGTTTAGTCTATTTCGAAAGAAAGTCGTAAAGACTATTGGCTTCGTGTGCAGTTCTGTTGGATTGCTGTAATACCATAAGACTTTCAACATCGAGGTGTAAAAGGTAGTAGTACATAGAGATTTCTGTTTATTTTGTTTCTTAGCGAAAGCATTTTTTGAAGCACCTACTTCAATTTTGACTCTTCTATTAAATAATATCGAAAGACGACAGTTGTTAAAATAAGGAAATATAAGTGTTAACAACTGTCGTCTTTCGATATTATTTAATACTTATATGCAAATTTATACATGGAATGGAGCAATGTCAATAACACTTGATTCTATCTATGAACAAAATTCCTGTCTTCGCTTAATTTTTGCATTAAGGAGACGGGTTCACATTAGTCACAAGTTAAAAGAATTAAAATGGGTAAGTATGTCTGATCGAAGGTTGTTACATTCTGCTTGTGTATATCATCGCCTAATTGCTTATCAAAAGCCATCTTACCTATTTAATAAAGTAACTCTTAGAACGGATGTCCATAGTATCAACATTAGATCAAAGAATATTATAACGGTACCGATTCATAAAACTGCTCTATATCAACGTTCATTCAGTTATAACATCTGCAAAATTTATAATTCCCTCAGTCCGGCTTTAAAATCAAGTCTTTACTGCAGAATCAATAAATTAATGGCGTTTTCTGTTCTTTTACTTGTTTCTCCAATATGTCTTAACTGCCATAAATGATTTAACAATTTATTTTAAAAGGGTGAAGTGGGAGAGCAGATGGTATGGATACCGTACCAATCTGAACTTCGCCCTTTTGGGTTGTCACATAAATTATTTTTTAGTTACTATCATAAACTTGTAAACGGCAACTCAATAAACGACTATTATTATTATTATTATTTTAACTACAGTACTTTGTATAAATCCTGTTCCGTTTAGGTACTGTGATATTCTCAGACCACCTCCGAAGGACCACGCAGCTTTCTAGAAAACGTGTGAACCCCATTTAATTTAATAACGGCCGGTTGCAAGACGGTTGGAATATACATGAATTAGGAAATCCGGAGTTACATATAAGCCGAGATTAGTCCATGATCGGGTTTCTCGTACTTAATCGAATCTTAGATTTTGAAATTCTAAAATTATTATAATCCAACGCCAGGTCGTTGTGAATTCACCCCTATTTTGACACAACACTAATTTGACGTTTGTGAGGTGATAGCGGAGTGTTAAATCTGTTGATCACAGTTACGGATCACATCAACAAAAATGAGGAAGGAGAAGTGCAAAAATTACACAGAGGTAGAGAAAGAGATTCTATTAGAAACGATCAAAAGATTAGTAAGTATAGTTAGTATAAATATTGTAATTTTATTCTATAATTTCTTTATGTATAACTGATGATAAGAAAATAATATACCTATACATTTCAGTTTTTCAACAATAGTAGAAAGTAAGGTAACAAATGGGCCATCGTGCGAGAAAAAAATGATGCTTGGAGAAAAATTGCTAACGCCCTCTCAAGTCTGCATCAAAACCCAATACTTCTTTTCAAATTCTCCCCAACAAGGTCTATTTCCCGTACCGTGGTCTTTGAAAATCGGAAGCGCTGTTTGAAATCGAGATCATCATAATTTTCCATTGGATTTGCCCTGTCTCTAAAAACTCATGGCCTAGGCAAAACCAATTCATCATTGTCGCTTTCCAGACTTGATAATGATGTATCTGACATTTCTACGTTCTATCTAGAGACTGCAATACTGGGTCGCAGGATCTCGAAATACCGGGATCCCGAAGCATTTTTACGGGATTAATCCCGTACAGAAATTAAGCGGGATCCCGCGGGATTGCAAAATTTACGACGTTGTTTAAAATGTATTAATAAAACGCGTAACGGAGAAGTGCAGATACGTACAGGTCGTCCGTAAATCAGTATCTCGAAAACAGCCATTTTAAATTTTTTTTTCTACGTCCATTGAATTTATCCGATCGAATCTTGGAACTTTAATTTGAAACTTTCTTCGATAGCTCTTTGTTACTAAAATATTGACCTATTTAAATATGGCGATTTTCACTTTTTTTCCAATTATCTACGAAACGAATTATTTTTTCAAAATATCGCGTCGGAATATCCACCAGCATCAAAAACTACACAACTTTGCCAATTTAACCGAATCTGTAGCTATAACAATAACAGAGATAACCATCCTACTCAATTTAAAACACCCTGTATACTCATCGATTGTTTATAAAAACTGTAGTAGTACAGTATGGCTGTATTAATTGTAGTGAATATTCTAGAAATCCAGATAAACATGGAGGCCTAAAGCGGATGCGACGCATCCTTTCCGGGAAATACGATATGTTTTGTTCGAGAATATTCGGTTAATCCGCACAAAATTGCATATTTCCCAATACATTTAAAATTTTGCGGGATCCCGCGGGATTAACATAAACGATCCCGCAAATACCGGGATCGAAATTTTGCCGCGGGATTGCATTCCCTAGTTCTGTTGTTATAATTCCAGTTTAATTCTCCGATTTGACGAATTAGAATAATTTTGATTTAATCAATGACTAATGTACGATTACAGGTTCGTGCAACCCAAAACCAACATAATCAGGGATTATAGTAGGAATAAACTTAGATTAGAATAATCAAGATTAGTTTAATCCAATACTTGATCATGCAACCAAAATTTTTGTTTAATCTCAGATTTGGCAAATAATCTTGGATTTCGATTATAATTCGCTTTCTTACAACCGGCCGTCAAACTTACAAATTATAGTAACTAAATCATGTGAGCCGACGAAAGTAGCGGCATTGGGCGGCAATATGGACGTGCAGTCGGTACAACGGACGGAGGAGCGGATGCCCCTGAGCAAGGTCGGCGGTAGGAACGGTCTCCAAGCATCTGGTAAACTGAATCAGAGTAACGGGAACTCCAGGAATCGAACGAGTTCAGCTAATGGCGGCGGTCACTTCGGGAAAACTAAAACAAAATTACGGTAAACTCCCTAACGGGAATGAAAACAACAAAGGACAAATTAATTAGCGGTATCTACGGGAAACCAAATGCAGGAAAATCAAACAGTATCCCCCCTATAATTAATGGAAGATGAAGTAGCCAAAAGGTTACTTTGTAATAAAACGGAGCGGTAGAAATTAATGTGTAACAAAAAGCAAAAGCTGCAGATACGGTGCGGAGTAAACTTAATGTAAGTGCAAAAATTAAACGGTATGAATGCAAAATAAATTTACGGAAAAGATCAAAATTACGATACTTGCCAGGTCCTCTCGATACTTTTGACTGATGACCAGGTTATGATTACTAGTTTGTCCCTGCGGAGCGTTTAGTACTCAATCCTGAGGGAGCTCTATATTATGCCCATCTGAGGCCTGCTGGTATGCTTTTTTTGCCCTTCTCCCCCGCCTCTTACTTGCCAATTCTTATATCCAGCACGTATTGTCATCGACTTTTCTGCGCCTGCGGAGTTTAGTAAATCGAATAAGTCATACTCTCTCTGGTTGGACAAGATACTGCCCCAGGCGAGGTGCTTAGCATTCAGATCTCCAGCTATGATGACCGGACCTTCATAAGTTATTAATATTGTTATAAGGAGGCTCATCTGGAACTAATATGACTGATGCGGAGATGTCATTCGCTATTTTGAACAGCACCTGCCTTTTCCTATAACGCTAAGAAATTGTTATGTTGGAGGGGGTACCTGGGATTTGGCTGTTGTTAAGGCCTGTTCTGCCATAGTTCAGCCGTTTACAGTTAATACATGCACACGAGGGTCTCGGACTTGCAGTATTTCAAGCGGTGCTTCTCAGCACAGCGCGAACATATCTCATTCTTTTTCAGGGCAGTTAGCTGTCATGTGCCCGAAGTTATTACATTTATAGCACCGCCTTATGTGAATGTGCTCTTCGCAGTGGGTAATTTTAAAATCCTCAAATTCCAAAACGGCTTCCATTAAATTCTGACAAACACTTAAAATGAACTTTGGGCCTAAAATCCAACAAAACTAATCGTGATTGGAACATGAGATTGCATTGGTCGTTAATAATGAATAACAAAAAATAATTACTTGCGTTGAATACTACGGCCCGGCTTACAGCTGGATTATGCAGGGAGGCTCGAAGTAAAAAGTTTGAGAACCGCTGACGTAAATGATAAACTGTTAACAGTTTTGTGTATTCCTTCCTAACAGCTATGAACCCTTATAACAATTTACATTCGTTTATTGCAACTTGGTAAGAAATCAAAAATTTACTTTTTACCTCCTTCCGTTTGTGAATAAATAAGAATTACGCTTAAATAAACTGCAGCTGTGCGAACTGTAAGAGAAATGTACTTAATGAAGAAATAACACTACGCCACCAAGAAAATGCATCAGATTTGACTAAAGAGAAAAACGTCGAGAACTTTCGAAATTAAATTAAGCAAGACCCGCTCGTAATTTCATATTTATAACATCTGCGGTACGCTGGCGGTTTGGTTGACACCGCTGAAATATTATTTCATCCTTAATATCCTTCTTACGAAATACAGAGGAGAATTTCGCTAATTAGCTAGTCGAGAAGGTCGTCCCAACTTATTAGCGATAAGTGTTTATGAACAGTTTTGACAGTGATTTTTTTTTATTGTCGTTACGGCCGCGAACTTGTTCTTTTCTCGAGTGGAGTGTTTAATGGTTATTGAAAAATGGAATTTGTATTTTCAGATCCACCCCAAGTGTCGCTTCATCTCGGAAGTACATTAAATCCCGAAGACATCAAAGAGGGAGACGACGTTTACTTTGAATGCAACATTCGGGCGAACCCTAAAGAACACAAGATCACGTGGTTTCACGATGTAAGTAAATCCCCTCAGCTTGGAAACGTTTAATCCGAACGGTTGCATGTTGCAACCAGGATTTGTGAGACCCTATTGTCCTTTCCTTGCCTGTGATTATGTAGGATTTAGTGTCTTACTAATGTTGTTACATGCAGGATAATTAAGCGAGACATAGAAAAATTGACGTGTTTAAGATCGAGCGGTAATGTTTAAACACAATCATATAACTAGAATTAATCAGACATCAAAGGTAAAATTGAAATTTCTTTTTGGAGGAGATCGCTTATAAATGAAATTAAAAACCTCTTCGTAATCAGTTTCAAACATCAAACGTTTCTTTTGTATCAATGCAATGGCGTTCTTTCCTATTTGGACAAATATTTGCATTGGAATTGCGATTCTGCTGAAGTTTTTAAATTGCATGTTCATTCATTTAATTTAATTGCCCTTTTCTCATCTTGCGAGTGCCTCCTTCATTGTGTATTCACTCTTGCTTTTACCTTCGCGGCAATATTTCATTACTCCACTATAATTTGTTCTGAAATATAGACGTTGTGTTGTATGTAGTCAACATACTGAATATGAATCATATTTTAGTAAAATTGAGTCACGAAAAAGGAAATAGCTGTACTGCCGCAAAAAGAATATCAAAAAATTATACGTTATATTTTCCTTTATAAGAAACGAATACAATACTTCTGAACCTGTAATAACTACGTCATGGTTATAGCATAATAATGAATAGTTATGTCGAAAATTGCCTCTTTTTATAACAGGTCTCCGTGTATTACACTAATGGATACTAATTTTTATGCATTTATGAAATACGTTTTTTTGCCAAAGATCTCTATTTACAGTGAAAATGGAAGTGTAAATACAGAAAATACACGAGCTTCTAATTTGTGTTAAGCAAACATAAAGCCGCCAAATTGTGATCCATTAACACATTACACTTTTTAATGCATTTCTTATTGTTTCCTAGCATTTTCTCAAAACACTATGTTTCCCTTTCATAATTGAGGTTTGGTTTACACTGAATACAGCGCGATCATTGCTATTGTGGCGGCTGCGCAGACAACATTCTCTCTTTTCGCCTATTGTACGTGTTAATTAAAACTTATTCAATACAAAAAT